ATTATTTTACAATTATTTTGGATAAAAATATATATATAATATATTAGGTTAGAGTGAGGAAATTAAACCTCAGGAAACATTTGGTATTTTGTTGAATGTGTTTGTAGCATTGGGAGCTTAGGGATAGAGGCTGAGGAGGATGGAGTGCATAACGTTACCGTGAAATCATCTACATTCACGGGGACCCAGAATGGANCAAGAGTGAATGTCTTGGCTGCAGGCGATAGTCCAAACACTGATGGCATCCACGTGCAACAATCATCAGATGTGACCATCCTCAACTCGAACATTGGAAATGGTGACGACTGCATCTCCATCGGTCCAGGGACATCCAACATGTGGATCGAAACTATTACATGTGGGCCTGGACATGGAATCAGGTAACTAGAGATAGATTAGGATGAACATGTTTAGAAATGTTTTTTAAAGGGTTTAAATAAATTTGTCACATTAATTTTTAAAAGATAATCTAAACGTTAAATTAAATTTGAATAATTAAAATATATTCTAAAGTTATTTTGAACGTGAGAAAAAATATTTAAATTATTTTACAATTATTTTGGATAAAAATATATATATAATATATTAGGTTAGAGTGAGGAAATTAAACCTCAGGAAACATTTGGTATTTTGTTGAATGTGTTTGTAGCATTGGGAGCTTAGGGATAGAGGCTGAGGAGGATGGAGTGCATAACGTTACCGTGAAATCATCTACATTCACGGGGACCCAGAATGGAGTAAGGATTAAGTCTTGGGGAAGACCAAGCAATGGATTCGCTACAAACGTTCATTTTCAACACATTACTATGGATAACGTGAAAAATCCAATCATAATTGATCAAAATTATTGTCCACATCTCAAAGACTGTCCTGGTCAGGTATACTTCCTCATTAATCTCATAGATGTTAATTTTTTTCTAATTATATTTTATCTTAAATTTAATAGAACTTAAATTTTAAATTTTATAAATAATTGATTTATTTTATCTTTAATTGTTTGAAATTTGTTTGTGTTTAAGATGGGCGCTAAATTATTAGTATTATTTTTTGGTACATTAAATTACTTTTATAGGTAATAAATTAGGGATGCTATTACTCTCGATGTCTTAAAATGGTATGAAGCTTTTATGATTTTATTTTTTAATTTATCCAAAATATCTAATATCAATGGAGATAATTGCTTAACTTATATAACTATCTAGAAAATCTAAGAATATGCTCGATTTATATCTTATTTGTTGTATATATTTATATCTTATTCTTGAATTCCTAATTTATATTTGGTTTTATAATATAGTTTTATAATATAACTTAGTGTTTCATGGAATTAATTTTTTTTTTTTGTGGAGAATAACTCAGTAATACAAGTTTACATGGTGAATGCTTTTATAGATATCCTTGTTTATCCGTTTTCATAGTATATTTTGATTGTTCTTTATTTTAATAGGATTCTGGAGT